CCTAGAAGATTCCTTCCGCACCCTGCACTCCTCCAGTAAAGCCTTTCGGGTGTTACAGCGTCTTTTGGAGAATCACCCACGCAAGGAAATTGCTCAGCTATTTGAGGAGCGCTACACTGACATCCTCGATCGCTACGATAAAGAACTGCGTCTAATTGAAACGACCTTCACTGAGGGCTCGCGAGACTCTGGCCACTTTGCCGCTGTTCTGGGTCCCCACTATCTCCCTCCAGTGTCTTCAGCCATTTATTGGGTTCGAAACCTTCAAGTTCGTATCACCTCACCGATGTTGAAGATGTTAAATATTAGACGTCTCATGGAAAGTGACCGGGGGAAAGAAGTGCAGGACCACTACCTCTGCCTTGTTAAGCGTATGACATGTTTCGAAGAGGGTCTATTTAACGGTTGGCGGCAACAGACGCATGAGTGTTTAGGACGCCTTTTGGAGAGGAATCTTTGGAAGTATACTGAAAGTTCAAAACCCATCACTTCATCTAAGGATGGCCAATTAGGAAGAATGAGTGCGCCAATGCCAAAGCGAGGATTGATATTTGGTCGGGAGCTTCCCAAGCAATGTCAATCTCTGTGTAAGAAAGAACACAGTTTCTGTGGCATTTTATGACGCAAGAAAATTTTAGTGGTAGTTGTGAAGAATTACTATTGTTCTGAGGGAATGCTGATCATTAGCATTGGTAATCACACAAGCTGATACCACAACTATTTCCTTTTCAGGTAAGTTCAACTTTGAAGTGGATTTCGGCAATGAATTGGTACAAATAATGGAAGAAACAAAGTTCCTTCAATTGCTTGGTTTTCCTGTTCCTGATATGGCCTGCTGTGTCGCCTTGAGAGTGAGTGCATTAAATTGGAAGTAGTCAAGGCACTTGTAGATACTTTAGCGTTTTGTTGATGGCAGTACCTTAATTTTTATTTTTCGTTTTCGCAATTCGAGACAAGGTGACGTATTTAAATTCATTCCAGCAAGGATAAAGTAGTATTTTTTGGATGCAGTTCTACAAATAAACTGTTCTCCTCACTCTCATACTTCGTTAGCGCTTAAATCAGTCAGATTGCAAAACATCTACCAGGCGAGGGTGCATATTGGTAGCTTGCGCATGTTAAAATTAACTTTTGACTCACATTAATGGGCTGGTTCCAAGTGAAGTAAGCTTTGTCCTTTGGTTGTGCCTAAACCCAGATTACTCAGCAGGTTTTGCTCCCCTAAGTGAGAGATGAGTAAAAATGAAATTACTCAGTTCATTTAAACAAATCCTCAGATAGAGCGGTAATTATGCACTAATGCACAATCAGAAGTGTCGTTCTTCATGCATCTTGGGTTTCACCTTCAAATAAAATGGATTTACGTTTAATAACTCTCAAGAAGCAGTCCTCAAAATGAAACGAATGATGGTGTTGGTTTATGGTTAACCTTGGCTGTTAACTGGGTTTCAGTAACAAGTCTTATTGGTTTAACCTCAAAATCGAGGAAGGGGAGCTACAAGAAACACCTTGCATCAAACTCTTACATGTAAGGCGGATTGATCGAGGGTTTTAGTTTTACAGGAGAAGGAACTCCTTCGCCAACGGAACGAGCTAAGCGATTTGGCAGAAGTGGTGCGCACCACACTGGGTCACCTGTCCATGGTGGAGGTGGCCACATTGGAAGATCACATTGTGAAATTGCGAGCCACTTTGGCTCCAGCCTGGAAGCAATTGAACTGGACCAGTCTCATCATTGACTCTTACTTGACCAAGGCAAACGAAACCTTTGATCACTTCTGTAGTGTACTTCGTGTTATGGAGAAAGCGAAGTCAAAAATGGAGGCCATTTTGAATTACATCGCGGGAGCATCGTTGTTTCGCACTTGTCCTTCGAAATCAACCAAGCTGAGTTCTTTTAAGGCACGCCAACTTATTCAGCAACTTAGTTTCACTGCATAATGTGACTTCAAAATTTGCGGAAGCAAAAGAGATGGCTAGGGAGTGGAAAGCTGTCATGTTGAAACAGAAGTTGCTTCCATATTAATAGCCCATGTAAAGTACTACCCGTTCATGATTTAGGCACATTTAGAAACCTTCCAATTTTTAGTGCTTACAGTGTTTTTTTGCTATTACAACGCTAATTCCTTGGTTTTCTTACTAAACGGTCGAATGGTTAAAACCGCCTCATCCATTACCTTCTTCTGTTGTTTCATTTTAGGTTTACCTCCAACAAATGGCAGATGCACGAATGCGAGACTTCGAGGAGCTTGCAAGAAAGCATACCGAAATAAGCACTCTCCTTTTGAATCTGGAGAGGACTATAACTGACAAGGCGGCTACTGGGAGAGAGCCAAAGATGGTCTACTTATATGAGTACTGGGAACGGCGCTGCTTCGACACTGTTCATCAGGTTGGGCAAATTCTCCCTTCTACGTACTCAGCAAACACTTTAAAACTGTTAATATCATTTCCGATCTTACGTACTTTTTTAACAGATGCTGGCTGAAAATCTGAGGAGGTACCTTGATACCCTTCAATTTCCAACCCAAACCCTGTTTGGAGTGGATTTAATGCTCTCCGGTTGTGAGGTTGTGAGCTCTCCACAGCCCACGGAATTCTACCAACACCTAATTCAGGTAATAAGAGAATTCGAATTCGCATATTACACAAACTTCCAATGTTCTATCAGTAAGGTCCTTTATTTTTAGGAAAATTTCCCATGTCACTCATTCCCTTGTTTGGTTGGAATTTTTTCGTTATTTCCGTGCAACATGTTGCATTTTATCATTTGCTACTTTACGGATGTTGAATACTTCATTCTTGTTATATTTGACTGTGAAGGTCTTTTAATCATGCATTCACTTTTTTATCAAAATGCTTGTCCACAGTTGTTCACAATGTTGAGGTCTTGCCAGATCAACCCGTGGAATAAGTCTTTACCCGGAGCGGAGTACATTTTCCCGACTCGCTTCTTGTTTGTGTTGCTTCGTTCAAATTCAAAATTCGCATTACATCATAATCTAATGTTGCATTTTTGCGCTTTTTCGCATTCTTTTTTATTGGTTTTGGTTTACTATACTATAACTGGCTTAGTAATACAATTTGTACTGCGAAAGCTTGGTATTTCTGGACGTGCCGGTGGCTGCATTTGTCTGTCCCTTTTAATTCTTGCTAAATATACGGACCGCGTCAAAGCTATCATCGGCCAATTTTAGTCCACATCAGCAGTTCTTTGGCAGTGAGGTGTGAGGTGCGGATGTAAATTAACAAATCTTTGTGTTAAAATTACTAACACGAAGGAAGATTGAGTACAAAGCTATGTGGTCTGAGAGGCTTTGTGTACAAGTGGATCTCAGTGAATTTGCTTAACAGTTTAATAGACGAAGTGGATGCAACAAAAACACGTCATAGACCTCGTAGAGGAGTCATTAATTCGTGGAAATTCGCATAAATTTACTTCGCGGGCAATAATTTTTAGTTGTTTTCGAAACACGTAGTCACGCAATCATTCTGCCACTTGGTCTGTCTGCATATTGCGATCAAATGTCTTTGAGCTTACAAAGAACTGTATTTGAACTTCGCGTTTTTTTTGGTTTTATCAAGAATTCACAACAACGTGCAATTGGTGGTTAAAATTCTGGTAAAACTATAGATTCATCGGCGAAGGCGGAGAGACCGATCTTGGTAATTTGATACTATCAGTCTTAGCGCCAAATCTGGTTATTTTCGTTGAGCAGTTAAGCCAGAACCAGGAGGAGAGGGAACGGTGGAGAGTAGGCAAAATAATGAGGTGAGGGCAACAGGCAATTCCATTATGCGGCTCTCAAAATAGCTGTCCTACAACTTGAGTCTCTCCTCCACCTGAAGCAGGTACTATCCGAAATAACTATGCTGCACAACTTTTGATTTCAGATTGGAACTTATAATTTAGTCACCTAAAGGGCTTGCAGCTTTCCAGTTCCGTCTTGCCCTGCTGGTTGACTTGCCTAAAACGCTTTAGGTGCCTGCTCTCCGTTAGACATACAATCCCTTACCTAGTCGGCCAACAGATTTCTTCAGATTAAGTGATCATCGTCTACAAGAAGAAGAGATGGACACTTAGTTAAGCAGTGGTCTTCTCTAAGCGC